ACCTCTCTCTCTCTCTCTCTCAAATAGATAAATAAATCTTAAAAAAAAAAGTTCAAATACAACATTTTCCTAAATTCCATGAACACAGGATCCTGTTTTCTCCAAACACCTTATGCACATTCCCTGGAACCTACCTTCCCCAGGGCACACTTTGGGAAAGGTGGTGTCCAGAACTTAGCTAAGCTGCTCCAGAAAATGGCTGCCTTGGCATCCCTTCTGCGTCGCCAGGTGGCCTGTGGGAACCTGAACCTGACACTCGCCCCTCCCAGCAGCACATGCCTTAGAGTAACGAGCAAAGGCAAGTTCCTGGTGACTCCCCCAACCACCTTTGTGAGCAAGTCTCCCCTGCTTCCCAGCACTTATATCCCTCATCCACCCCTTGGTTAAGACCCCTGTGGGGCTCACCAAAACCCCACTCTTTTGGTTTGAATCCCAGCCCAGTCCTGGCCCGGGAACCCCAGAGCACTCCACCCACAGACCCCAAGAAAGGCAAGTGCGCCAGGTCCTGGCTCTGTCTGCACTCTGCCTTGACCTCCCCATGTGGCCCCTTGAGGCGTGCTCTGTACTTCCTCCGGGACCCGTAAATAATAAACTTCCCTATTTCAGTTTCTCTTGTGGTCTACTGTTGAGCCACAGCTCACCATCTGTGCTCAACTTAATAAATGTTCATTTAACAGTCCTGGTGTGGGGATACATGGAACACAACATTCCCAGATAATCGCATTCACAGCAGGAAATAAGCTGGACGGAGTCATCCCGTGACTGTCTGGCTTCCACTCCTTGAGACCTCACCTCTCCAGACGACCGCCCATTCCCCTCTCCCCACCCCAGGGCTTTCTCCACATCAATCCTCGCCTGCGTGTCACTCCCCACCCCTGCACACACACACACTAGAGGGTAGCTTGAAGGGCAGACTGTGCCTGTTATGTTCAACGATGCGTCCCCAGTGCTTGGCAGGGCCCCAGACAAGTAGTAAGTGCTCAGTAAACACAAATAAGGAAGTAGATGTGGACACAGTAGAAGGAGTGTGAAATTTGGGGCTTTGGGTTCAGATCTCAGTTCTACTGCTTTGCAGACCATGATCTGGTAGCAGTTCCATCACCAACAAGAGAAAACTTAATGCCAACCCCATGGGCCTTTGTGAGGACTGAGCTGTGAGGGACAGGAAGTCAGCCTTGCCCCCAAGTGGGCACTAAATACATGGTAGCAAGTGTGATTCTTTCTACCACTACCACTCTGGGCTCATGTGATTGGAAAGGTCCCCCAAATTCATGTCTGCCGAATACTTCATCTTTGCCCTGGGTGAACGGCTGCAGGGTAGGCGTACCATGAGGACTACATGGCAAGATGCATGAGAAGACAGGTCCCAGGCATCTGCCTGGTCAGCAACGGCCCCTCCACATCCGCATGCCCGTCGAAGCTCAAGGACAGCAGACCCCGACAAAGAGCACATATTCCTTCCCAGTGGAGAAGGTCTGAGTTTATTCTGGAGCAGGCAGCTTCCCCATTAGGGCAGCCGTCCAAATCACCTGAAATGCTCAGTAAGCAGAGTCCTGGGCCTCATGGCCACCACAGCCTTCCCCAGTTGCAATTCAGAATGTTCAGCCCAGAGTCAAAATCTCTGACCTCCAGAACTAACTGTACGAGCCTCAAGAGGAAACCAAAACGTATTGGGTCTGTACACTGTAAAGACCTGCTTTGGGGTCCTGTGACCAAGCATGAGAAAGGTCCCTACCCCTGGGTTTGGAGTGTACAAAGGACTATCGAACACACACTAACACACATACTCACACCTCCAGCCAACTGTCTCCATACAGCACGAAGACCCAGTGTTGCAGAACTTCCAAGAGAAGCCAGAAGTCCATGCTTTTATGTGATATGTTCCAACTTAAAATTCTGGCTCGAGATCATGAAAAGGAGACAAAGGTTACTGATATGGGACTCCAAAACCTTAATTCCCCCTTAAAAAAAATTTTTTTTGCCAGCTTTGAGGTAAAATTGACAAATTGTAAGATATTTGAAGTGTGCATCTTAATTTGATACACATGTACACTGTCAAAGTTCCCACCCCCTAATTAACACACCCCTCACCTCTCACAGTTACCTTTGCTTTGTTTGGGGGGTTTGTTTTGTTTTGTGTTTGGTGAGAACTTAATTCTCTCGAATCGATGCTAAAGAGAGGATTGGAAACTGAAGCCCCCTAAACCCAAATCGGCCCCCGGTATGTTTGGATTGGTTCACACTGGGCTTTAATTCTTTTTTAATTAGTTGCTAACATTAAAAAAAAAACAGGGGGTTTCCCATTTTTAAAAATCCTAATTCTCTGGGCGCCTGGGTGGCTCAGATGGTTAAGCGTCTGCCTTCGGCTCAGGTCATGATCCCAGGGTCCTGGGATCGAGTCCCGCATCGGGCTCCCTGCTCCTTGGGAGCCTGCTTCTCTCTCTCTCTCTCTCTCTCTCTGTCTCTCATGAATAAATAAATAAAATCTTAAAAAAAAAAAATCCTAATTCTGATCTCTCCTGGAAAATCAGGCCAGGCAATGCCACGCCCACATTCCGCAGGGCCCGCGCTGGCTGGGGGATCCTCTTCCCAGGGCCCTCGCTCATTTCCGTCCCCTGCCTGGACCCCACAAGAATCTAAGCTTGCAGCTTGCAGGTGAACTTTTCAGACCAGGCACCACCGAGACCTGAAGCCAAGACATCAAGCACGTGGTAGAAGAGCCAGGAAAGGCAGAGTCGGCTGCAGGAGAGAAGGGGGGAATGTTCACTCCGTGAGAGGAAAAAGCGAAGGGCTGCGGGGCTTCTTCAATTTCATTCAGTGGTTCTCAACAAGGGGCGACTTTGCCCCACACCCAGGGGACATCTGGCAATGTCTGGAGACAAGCTGGACTGACACTGGTGGAGGGTGCTATTGGCATTGATTGGGTGGGATGCCACTCAACACCCTACTGGGGACTGGGTCACAGAGTGACCCAGCCCCGAATGTCAATACTGCTGATGCTGAGAGGGGCCTGATCTGTTTTGTGCAGCGCATTAGTTCTCCACATGGGCATACGTGGTCTCTTGGGATGAAGAAACACTGAACTGGCGTCTTGGACGGCAGGGCTGAGAAGGGTGCCCGACGCATAGTAAGTGCACCCAGGGAATGATGATCCTGTGTCATTGTTAACATTGTGGGTAAATGTACTTAGTCTCACTCCAGTGAGTCAATGACTCGTCTTCCTGGAAAGCATCGGGACAACAATAATGGTAATATTAATACTAATGGTACACAGTCCTGTTATCTCACTGAGTTCTGCGTTAAGTGAAGTAAGCTGAGGCTTGGACAGGCACGGACAGATGCCCCGGGGAATCCCTTCAAGTGGGACAGGCAAGCTCTTTGCAGAGGAACCCGAGGGTCAGAGTTCACTTGCCCAGGGTCACAAGCCCTAGGGGTCAGCTCCTCCCCCCCTCCTGGGGTAGGGAGCAGAAGACGCAGGCCTAAGGCCCAGCTGCTTCCTTCCACCCTCCACCACTCATGCTCCCACAACTCCTCACCCTCCCACCCCCGCCTCCCAAGGGGTCCAAGGTCAGTGCTTCCCAGAGGGGACCCAAGGGCATGAGGCCATGTTTTCTCAGGGCTCTGCTTATGCGTGCCCTCTCTGGAGAAACAAGAGCTTCACCCCACCCCCCGCCCCTTTAAAGCGATCTGAGATTTCAAACCAAATTGAACCACATTAACCAATTTCCAAGCAAGGAAACGCCACTTGAGACCATGCTTTTCTGACCTACAATCACAACCAGAGAGAGTCTAAAAGATCCTCCCGGGAGTCAGGCTCCCACCCCCCAGGTGGCCACCTTTGACCTTGGTTTTGAGCCCCTCATCCTCCGGATGAGGACCTGAGGCTGGGGGGAGAGTGGGGAGCATGACCTGCCCAAGGACAGGGAAGTACCAGGTGCCAGATTCCGAGCTCACGCTGGAAATCTTGCTTCCTCCTTCAACTCCCTGATGCCAGCAAACTCCTCTTTCCCCAGAGGTAAAAGGGACACCAGGCTGAAAACACCCCTTGGTGGGGCCCTTTCTCCCCCAGGACAGCCCACTGCAGCCTCCCACAAATCCAGGGACGTGGGCACCCAGACTCTGGCTGTGGGTCCCAGGAAACTGGAATCAGCATCAGCATGGGGGGAGGCCTATCCTGATGAGCGACCTACTAGTGGGCCTCACCTCACAGGACGGCTGCAATGACCCTATAGGACTGTGTCTGTCAGGCACAGAGCACAGTGCCTGGGACACAGAAGTGCCCCCGACACAGAAGTGCCCCCAAACCGTCAATAAGCTGTCAACATCCTTGTCTTCATCCCCCCAGCCCCTCAGCTGGCTCCTCCACTTGGACCCACCAAAGTCCCTCTTCCTCCTCCATGGTGTAGCTCCCCACTGGAAAACAGTGGCCTGACCAGGGACATTTCCAGCCTCCTGTGCAGTGCGATGTGACCCTGTGACTGCCCCCCCCCCCCCCACACAAACACACACACTTAATGAGATGTGAGCAGGGAAAAGACGGGTCACCTCCAGGCCAAGTTTTCCAAGAAGCTAGATGCAGGAAGGGGCTTCAGGTGCTGGGGGAGGAAGCCACAGTCGGGAGCACAGGCACCTCGTCTGCTGTCACCGTCCCACGAGTGAGGAACGGCCTTGTGTTAACCCACTGAGGCTGTGGGGTTCCTCCTCTAAGCTGCAAGAAGCAGGCCCTACTCGGAACCAGCCCCAGTTCCTCACAAGCCCAAGGAATACTCCAAGTCCGGTGCCCTTCTGTCTGGAAAGCCCACGGCCCACTGCAGGTGACTAGGTCGGGTCACTCTTCAGGAGGACAGCCCAGTCTACATCGGCCCAGGAGGGTACCAACTCAGCAGCTTTCTCCACGGCCCAGCCCTCGCCCGGTGTCCCCTCTGTGACTGCGGGCTGGGGAGCCCTCAAGTCATGCTCTTGCCCTTCTCCCTCCCGACTCAAGAACCACGCAGAGCAGGGACAATCAGATAGTGCGATTTATTGCCCCCGCGCCCCTCCTTCAGCCGCGTCCAGGCCAGGGAATAGACGGGACCCCATCTCTGCGGGGTCTGCTGGGAACAGGGCCTAGTCCTGCTCCAGCACTCCTCCACGACCCCAAACCCAGGAAGGGGAGAGGGACGAGGGCCAAGAAAAAGAACAGGACCCGCGGGGAAGTAGAGACAAAATAATGGAAGGGTGGTCGGGAGGCGGGTGTGACCAAAAGAAAACTCTAAGGGGAAAAGGACCCCCTCCCTTCGCTCCGTGTGGCCCTGTGAAGCGGAAGGGCGGGGCCTTCCGGGCGGCGGGGCAAGAGAGAGGGTCCAGGAACCGCTCTTTGGGTCGCGGGCTCCGTCCTCCCTCGGTCTCCAGTTCCCGCGCGCGGCGTCTCCCGGGCTCGCCGAGAACCAGAAGGGCAGGCCAGGCTGGGGCAGGCTGCAGGGCGCAGGGCGCAGGGCGCAGGGCGGGGGCGGGAGGGCCCCAGCGCCCCGGGCCGCCCGTCCCCACAGCGCGGACCACCGGGCGGGGCGGGGCGCGGCGGGGGAGGGAGACGAGGCCTCCGCCGCCCGTGGCGCCCTCTGTCCGTCCGTCTCCGGCCCCGGGTCCTGCGCCACCGTCCCCGCCAAGCCCGAGGGGCCCTGCCCCCCCGGGCCGCCGCCCCTACCGGCCCTCCCCGCCGCGGCACTCGCCGCAGCGCCCGCCGGCCGCCTCGTCGCCGTCGCCGTCGCCGTCCTCCCCGCCCGCCCGGTAGTAGCTCTGTCCGCAGCGGCTGCAGACCGACGGCGCGCCCACGGCGTGCACCTTCTTGTGCCTCCGCAGCGCGGCGCCCTGCACGAAGCCCTCGCCGCACTCCACGCAGATGTGCGCCGGCTCCTCGCCCCCCGCCGCCCCGAGCCCGTCCCCGTGCTGGGCGCGCTGGTGCGCCAGGAGCCCCGCGCCGTGCCCGAAGCCCTTCCCGCACTCCACGCACACGTACGGCTTGGGGGCCGGGGCGCGCCGCGAGCGCGGCCCCGGCGCCTTGGCCCCCGCGCCCGCCACGGCTGCGGCCGCCGCGGCCCCCTCGCCCGGCGCGCCCACCACGATGATGCCCTCGCCGTCGCCCACCGGGATGGCGATCTCGCCGTCCGCCGCCGCCGCCGCCTCGGGCGCCTTGGCCCGGCGCACACTGGCCGCCAGCACCTTGGCCGCCACGCCGGGGCCCGAGAGCTCGGGGTGCAGCCGCAGGTGGCGCGCCAGGCTCTTGGGCTGGCTGAAGCCGCGGCCGCAGCGCGGGCACACGAAGGGCTTGAGGCCGCTGTGCGAGCGCCGGTGCTTGGCCAGGCTCTTGCTCTGCGTGAAGCTGCGGCCGCAGTCGGGGCAGGCGTAGGGCTTCTCGCCCGTGTGGATGCGCTGGTGCTGCATGAGGTTGGAGCTCCAGCTGAAGCGCTTGCCGCACTCGGAGCAGGCGTACGGCTTCTCGCCCGTGTGGATGCGCCGGTGCTGCACGAGGTGCGAGCTCTGCGAGAAGGTCTTGCCGCAGTCGGCGCAGGCGTTGGGCCGCTCGCCCGTGTGCGTGCGCTGGTGCCGCGTCAGCTTGGACCAATGGCTGAAGCTCTTGCCGCACTCGTTACAGATGTAGGGCGCGGGGGGCCGCGGCCGGGGCGGGGGGCCGGCCGCGGGCGCGGACTGGGGCGGGGCCAGCTTGGTCGGGGGCCAGCTGGGGACGTCGTCGTCATCCATGATGAGGATGTCCACTAGAAGGCAAGAGGGCGGGAGGGGAGGAGAGTCAGAGAAGCCCCGGCTCGGCAGGGGGCCGGTCCGGGACGGAGGGCCCGAGGGCCCGAGGGCCGGGGCTTCGACGACCGGGCTCTGCCCCCTGCCCCCTGCCCCCTGCCACAGGGCATGCGCAGAGCCTCACCAGCGCGCCGCGCCCTCTCAGGATGCCCGGCGGCCCCGGAGGGCAGCTAGGCCGGGTCGGCGCAGACCTGGCCCTCCGCAGATGCCCGTCTCTCCCCCTCCTTACCCGCCCCATTTTCCTCAGAGCTCACTCCCTGACGCTGTACTGAACGTTCATGTGGTCATTCATTACCCACCGTCAAGACTGTTCTTTCCCAGCTGCTTCCCCCACACCTGGAACAATGCCTGGAACGTAACAGGGACTCCAGAAATGTCTGGGAAAGAAACAGCATCCACATAAACGAACATGGATGGAAGTCTAGGAAATGACACTTGAAGCCCAAAGCACCGGGCAGGGGCGGGGAGGGTCCAGGGAGAGGGGCTCACACCCTGGCCCAGGAACAAGGCAAGCCCGGGAGTAATGGCATCGCACCTGGCTTCCAGGAAGACCATCCCGGTGCAGGTGGAGAAGAGGAAGGAGGAATAGGACTGGTTAATGGGATCACAGGCCAGCACGGGATCCCGCCTGCCCCAGGACCTGGGAGTGCGACCCCCGCATACCGGAGCCTCTGTGACAGACGTCCTTGACCCTATCCCTGCTGCCCCATGCAGACAACAGAGGAGCATGGAGCCCTGGTCTTGCCGGCTGTGAAGTGAGGACTCAAAGCCTGTCCAACGTCTGCACCACACCTGGCCCTGAGCCATCTCCCAGGGGAAGAGCGTTGGCCTCCCCCGGGCAACCTGCCCAGCTCAGAGACCAACCTGTGAGCACCTGCAACAAGGGCTCTTGCTCCCCAATCCAGCAGAGCCTGGGCCTCAGCCGGGACTCCTCCACGGTGCCCACCAGCCCGGCGTGGCCCTCCACGGTGTGCCTGCAGCTTCCCTTCCAAGCATGCATTGGGAACACTGCTTCCCCGCTCCCTCCCTCCCTCACCAGGGCACAAGTCAGGCCCGAAGCACTCACACACTGACCCAGGGTAACTCACAAACATGCAAAGAGGCGTTAGGATGCACGGAGGTGGGCGCCACACACTCAACAAGCTTCAGTGCGTCTACGTCCTGTAAGGGAGGCGCTACGGAACTCGGGTCTTTACAGCACAGAACCCCAGCACCGGGAGAAGAATCACAACCTGGGAGAGCCCTGCTCTAGTCCCCCTGGCTTCTGCCCGCTCGCTGCATGGGGTTCAGGGGGTGCCTCGGAGAGCAGCCGGGCCTGAAGGCAAGACCCCGCTCTTGCTCCAGAGGCACGTGGCGGCCTCGGCGCCTTTCTGGGGCACTCACGACCGCTTCACCGGGGAGCGCGGCCCGGAGCTGCTCGTGGCACTGGCAGCTGGAAGGCTTCCCACACGCGCTCCCCATCACCATGGTCAGCCACACGTGGCTGTGGCACGGTCCACGCTTGCTTCGCCAGATGAACCGTTCTCGATCACCCTCCAGTCTCCCCTTGCTGAACATCGCTACGAACTCCTGGATTTACCTGTATTTGGTGGTCTCCATCCACTGCCGTCCCCTGGCAGCTTCCCTGCTCCCCAGCCTCATGAGACGCCCAGACATGCAATCGCTGTTTCTCCAGGAGGCCCTGGTTTATTCTGGTGTAAAGTATTTCAAGACCCAAATCTGGAAATGGTCATTGCTTTTTTTTTTCCTTACAGTAATATTCTGCTGAGTTCACACCAACACTTCTTCCCAGATAAATCCGGACCTACAGATTTTTCTTGAGTCTTTTCTTTGGGATGTCTGCATCTCCCTTCTTCAAAAGGGAGAAGAGAGTTTGAATAGTCTGTCATTATTCGTTTGCTGACCCCATGTTGCGGTGTGGAGATAACCACCCTAATCCACCGCTGCCGATTGCAATTTCTGAAAGCACAAAGCACGGCCTTGCGCGCGCCACTCCTGTCCCACCCAACCTCCCACGGCCCTGCTTGCTGCCCGTCTCTCTCCAGCCAGTGGCTGTCTGAGGCTCGCCTGCCAACAAATCCCCCGGAAGGGCCCAGAACGCTGTGGACCGAGCTCCTCCTCTGCCCTTCCAACCTGTAGGTCAGTTTTATTTGAGAGAGAGAGAGAGAGGGTGAGAGCAGGAACACAAGCAGGGGGAGTGGGAGAGGGAGAAGCAGGCTTCCCGCCGAGCAGGGAGCCCGATGCGGGGCTCGATCCCAGGACCCTGGGATCATGACCTGAGCCGAAGGCAGACGCTTAACGACTGAGCCACCCAGGCGCCCCTGTAGGTCAGTTTTAAGGAGACCCTTGGCTCGCCTTTTCTTTCCTGGGAACCATAAATATGGCCCTACTGTCTTCTGGCATAAAGCACTGCCCCTAGGTGCCCCAAAGATTTGCTTCTTCCGGTGACCTCTGAGGAAATATTCTCAGATTTGTGACTTGCTCTTTCAAGACCTAATTTTGACAATTCAGGAGTCTTCTTGGCTTGTTTATTCTCTTCCTTTGCTTTGGATTTCTGCAAGGACTTCCCCAGCTCCGCACTGGGATTCTGACTTTTTTTTTTTATACTTCGTTTTAACCTTCATTTCTTTTTAATTTTAAACATCCCTCCTTTTTACCTCCAACTTTTCTCAGGGAATGTATTCTTTTTATTCCCTCTTGGGTTTTCTCCTTCAGTTTTCATTTTGAAACGACTTTGCTTGTATTTTCTGCTGAGTCCTGCATCCTCGCTTCTGAGCTGTTCTGATTTCGTGCTTCTTCCACAGGCTGTCACCTCTCTGACCAGGTGGTGTATCTCCAAGTGGCCTCGCGATCGGGGGAGATATTACCTGCCCATTTTCTCTTTTATTCTAACGGTTTTGGGGGGGGGGGGGCACCAGTGTTATGCTCCGTTTGTTCCCATTGCTTGTTTTTGCACGGAAGGGTTCCCCAACTTTGGGGGCTCGAGGTCCCCAATTCCCAGGAGGCAAGGTCCCCCGACTCCCAGGGGGCGAGGTTCTCCGAGCTCCCTCCTCTGATGTTCTCATACCATAGCTGAGTGTGTGACAGTGTCCCAAGCTCCTGGCTCCACAGCCTCCCTGTTTTTAGCTGTGCCTCCTCCTTCCTTCCTCCCTGTGGTCAAGGACAGGGGTCCCACTCAGTTTTGAGTTCCCTCCCAGAAGGTTTTGCTCTGAGTGGGTCCTGCCATGGGCAGAACGCTCTCTCTGGTTGGCATCAGAGCCCACGCGTGGGCCCCCAGGCTGCTCCAGCCCCAGACCTTCCTGTGGCCCCGAGCTCCCTGCTCCCAGTCTGGACAGAACACCTCCAATCTCAGCTGCTGGGCTCAGTGGGACCACCCCCCAAGCTTTCCAGTGAACCCCCGAGGGCTATTTGGGGCTCCTCCTTGCTTCCTTCCCTCCAGCACAATGCCAACACCACACAGGCTGTGACCATTGGTTTGTCCCCATCCAACTGTATTCTGGGGTCACGGGGGCACCTTCACACCTAAGGAGTATTGTCATCAGTGTGGCCCGAGGGATCTGGGTTCTGCCACATGGTTTTTCTGTGGAGGTCTGGGGAGGCTTAAGGGCTGCCATCATTCTGGGCCGGACGCATTTTAGGTCAGCCCCCCGGAATGTCTCTGAAGTGCACTTCAACGTGAGAGCCAGAGCTCGGCTGAGGGAGGTCAGAACCCCGTCCCCCAGTGGGTGCCTTCCAGGACACCAGCTCACTTCTTTCCTGTTGGGAGAGCTCCCTCCTCAGAATCACAATGTCATCTTTATTTATGTATTCCTTTTTTGGATTACTTTCCATTCTGAATACCCTGTAGCTAAAGCCCCAGGACAGGCCTGGATGGCTCTCCCACCCTGCCACGCCACCACCTGATCCCAGGCCTCTGACCACCTGCACCCTGGATGGCCAGGCTGGGGCCACCAGGAGGAGCCCCAGGCAGCAGGTCGGAAGGGCTGCCCTCCCCCGGGGACAGCGCAGCAGACCCCGGCTGTCCCCCCACAGCTGTCCCCCCACAGGCTGTCCCCCCCGGCTGCCCCCCCGGTTGTCTGCCCACGGGATGTCCCCCCCACAGCTGTCCCCCCCCGGTTGTCCCCCCACAACTGTCCCCCCTACAGCTTGTCCCCCCCAACGGCTGTCCCCCCCAGGCTGTCCGGCTACAGGTTGTCCCCCCGGCTGTGCCCCCAGGCTATCCCCTCACAGCTGTCCCCCCAGGCTGTCCCCTCACAGCTGTCCCCCCCAGGCTGTCCCCCCCCAGCTGCCCTCCCCCAGGCTGCCCCCCCCCGGCTGTCCCCCCCCCAGCTGCCTCAGCCTGGGTGGGTGGCCTGGCCTCTCTGCTCCAGCACTCTAGCCGGCAACCCAACCTCGCAGGATGGCCCAGCGGCTGGAGGGAGCACAGGGCCGACAGGAAGCGCTTCTAAAGCACCAGCCGCTGTGAACAATGGCACCTACTCAGTCTGCACACCATTCCCCAAAATACCCAAATCCAGGGAAGAAAATGCTAAAATCCCTGAGGTTTCACAAACGCCCTGGGCAGGTCCATGTCATGGAAAGGAAATGCGACCCCTTGGCTCTTTTCTGTCCCGTGTGCACGGAGCGGCCGGAGAAGCACCGCCCAGGTGACCGGCTGTCTGCCCTCCACCTGGGTCACAGCCCGGCAGCAGGGGTCAGCTCAGTGTGGAGCAGGCCAGAGGCGATCCACATGGAACACGGCGGGAGGAGAAGCGAACACAGCGCCCGTGCTGCCAACAGGGAGCACTGGGCTTTCGCTTCCGTGGCACACGAACACACGTGGGGCTGGGCTGAGGGCGTGTGCAGAACGACTCCGGCCTTGGCGACGGTCAGAAGACATGCCGTGGGTCCCCCTCTGCCTCCCTGTCATGGAGTGGAGTCTCCCGAAGCAGGAAGATACAGGGCGGGGCGGCTCCCAACTTTGGGGACAGAGAGCTGGAAAGTCCTTCAGACAGCATCTGGGGGGAGCCACCACGGCCACCTCCTCATCTGCACCGGAGGCCCCACCACCCGACCCGAGGTCTCCCAGGGGCCCTGAGGCAAAGCCTTCCCTAGGGAAGGAGCCTCGGGCCCACGGTCGCCCACGGCTCCTGAGGGGCTGGCCGCCTCCAGGCAAAGACAAGGCGCCCGGGGCTCGGGGCTCCTTCCCCCACAGCAGCCCCAGAAAGCTTTCCAAAGCGCTCCTGAGCCCCCAAGGAACGCCTTTCTCCCTGGGGTGACATTGCTGGGGCTGCCCACGGCCAGTCCCCTCTTCCTCACCGGAAAATCCCAAGCACAGGGCTGAGCGGGGATAAGGCAGGCACGGTGACCCTGAGGCCACCTCCTAGGTCGCGCGTCCCCGATCAGGATGCACCCGGGGTTGCCCCCGGGAAGAGAGGCCCCAGGAGCCAGTTCTGCCCCTGCCCCGCCCCCTCCCTGTCCTGCATCTTCAGCAGGGAGGGGGACGTGAGGGCCAGAGCTGAGGAACCACCTCAGGCGTGTGGCCAGGACGGCACAGACAAAGCCGCCCAGAGCCAGGATGTCGGCGGCTCGTGGAGAAATGGCTGGAAGCGCCCTGTGTGCAGCCTGGTGTCCCAGGCGGCTACACACCGTTCCCGTTAAAGCCACGACAGGAGGGCTCTTGCTAGTCCCACCTGGCCGCCGCGTCCCCTGCCTCAAGCTGTCCGCGGGGCCTCCGATCCACAGCCAGCCGCGCTCTTCTCCAGCCAGCGGCCCGCACCTCCCGCGGTGGGCAGCCCCTTCCTTGGCGAAGCCTCCCTGCCCCCGACGAGCTGGGCCCTCTGGTGAGGCGGTCTCCACGGCAGTCCCCTCTGTACCCACCACCAGTCTGGGGGCCCCGTGGGGACAGGGAGTCGGCCTCAGGCACACCGTCCCCAGCCCCTCACCCACAGGAGCAGTGACAGGCAGAGCTTGCCTCCGTGCCGCAGACGGCGTGTGGCTGACTCCAGGCACGGTGAGCAGTGCAGGGCACGGGCATCGCTCCCGGCAAGCCAGGACCTCACGCCCATCTCAAGAAGCTCATGCAGGGGGCTGTGGACAGGGATGGACGCAGGGACTAGGTGGAGGTCAGTGCAGGGTGGCAATCCAGGAGCCAGGGGGGCTCTGTGGCCACATCCAGAAGGTACTTTGTGAGTGGACACTCGATGGGCCAGAAATCAGATTGGGGGGGGCCCCGGGGAGCCCCCACGGTCGGCTGGGCCATGAGGCTGCGACTCAGGGCTCTGACAGCACTTTCCACCTGCCATCTTCAGACCCTGGGCCAGGGGATGAGCCCACCTGCCTGCCTTCTCCCAGCCCCGCCCCGCTCTCGAGGGGGCCAGCACAGACCCCAGCCCCTGCCCTGCAGGCCAGAGCTACCACGGACATCAGGCTGGTGTCTCAGGGCGGGAGTCTGGCACGATCAGCCCACAGGAAGCCCCACCCCCAGGCGGGCAGCACCCCCCCGGGGCAGGCCCAGAACCATGGAATACACGGCCACTCAGAAGCATCCAGGCACAAGGCCTGCGAGCTGAGCGAAGGGGGGGGTCAAAATGGCGTGGCCCCCAGCAGGGGGTGGCTGGAGCAGGGACGTCCAACAGATTCCCTTGGGGGAGAACAGGCTCAGGACAGCAGGCTGAACGAGGGGGAGGTGAGAACCCACCTGTACATCGTACAAGTTTTATAAGGAGGACGGGTTAACGGAGGACTCGTAGGATTAAACCTGACTTACTCCAAGGCAGATGTACATTTTGGAGAAAACTGGGGTTGTTAACTCAGACTGGGTGTTTTGTTGGGTGAGGTAAGCGTTTTGTAGCTGTTGTTCGTTTTTGCTCTTAAAGAGCCCGCACCTGCTGGAGGACCTACGGGTGCAAAGCAGGACATCTGGGATGTTCTTTAAACTCTCCAGGAGGGAGAAAAGGGTGCAATCGGAGAAATAAGACTGGCAAGGGATCTCTAAGCCTGAGGCTGAGTGCAGGCAAAGTCATGGCGTCACTGAGCTCGAATGTTCCCATAATATGCAGACTTTTAAATTAATTCTAAAAGGGCTAGAAGGCCAAGGACGTGCATCGGGGGAGGCAGGGGAAGGAGGCCCGGAGGGACACAGCAGGGCAGGGCGGGCACGGTCCCCCCACGGAGGGCAGCCGGGTCAGAGTGAGCATGGAGCCCCCATGACTCCGTGTCCTCCTTGGTAACCAGGCCGTCCCGGCCTGCCTGCAGGGAGCTTCTCCTTATGCTCCTCGGGGTGCTCTTACATTAACGCGTAGGGGGAGGCCAAGAGACTTTGAAAACCCTCCCCAACCATGGTGCAGGTCCCCGTGGCCCTCCTGGAGGACGACCGCGGGATGCCGGCCTGGGGCCAAGACCCAGCGCCCGGCCGTGCCGTGCGTGACGTTTGACCGGCACGTGGCCACACCCACTCACTTCCATACTGGCTGGCCGCCCTCCCACTGCAACAGCAGAGTCTGCAAAGCCAAAAGTCTCTCTCCTCTGGCCTCCACAGTAACAAACACATTTGCTGACTCCACGCCGGCATGACACCCGGCACGAAAACACACCAACAGCAGCATGAAAGCCAAGTCCAGGCTTTATTTCTCGGGTGCCCTACAGGAAAAGTCCTGGGAAGGAGGGTCTCGGCGAGCAAGCCCCAGGCCCCGTGTGCTCAGAGGTGAGTTTTATTCAACCCAAATAATGCTTTATTAAACACAACAGGGTACCAATAGTGAAAGAGTGGCAGATTTCCCCTAAAAACCCAGATACTCAGCTTTCCCCCCACAACTGGCACACATCACTCCCTCCTCTGTGGTCCTGTCACCCCGGCCCCGTGACGCCCACCCCGTCTACAGCTTCTCGCTTGAGACACCTGCGGACCACCCAGAAACAGGGCAGGAGGCCAGGACGCTGGAGAGCGAGGGGCCTGGGCCGTGAGGGTGGAGAGGACAGCCGGAGAGCAGAGGCACCCAAAGGCACCCATGACCCTCTGGAGGAAGGAGGCATCACTCCTGAGCCACAGGAGCGGGGGAGAAGGAAGCCGGGGTCCAGGAGGGATACGGGATCAGCTGAGACCTGCCCAAGGCCACCTCACCTGGGTTCTCGTGACTGGCCATCTGCTGGTCCTCGGAATCCAGCGGCCCCGGAGACCAGGCCTCTTCCCGCAGCTCCATGTCTGGGTCCCTGTGAGAAGGGGAGGAGACGGAAGGACAGAGTTTACAGGACGCCAGACTAGACAGAGGGCCCCAGGACGGCAGGCACCACGTCGGCTCCAACCCGTGCTCAAGCTGCGAGCGCCCAGGCCGAAGGCGCACGCGGCGGGTACCTGAGGGGCACAGAGAAACGGCCCGCACCTCCCCCGGCACAGGAGACCAGCCCAAGGCCACGCACCACCTGGGGAAGACGACGCACCGGGGCTGCAGCAACCCGGCCACGCTCGTGTCCCAGCTCCACCACTCGCCAGCTGGAGCCCGGGGGGAGACTCCAGCCCCCCACCTCAGCCGCCCCCGCCGCCGCCTGGCGCCCGGATTGCCGCCAACACCGCACACACATCTGACGTGCGTGAGGCTGAAACAAGACGAAGCAGGTTGGCAGCTCTAGCCCCAGAGCCCGCCCCCGACGGGACAGTGAGGCCAGCTGACCCGGGCGCACAGGTCCTCAAAGGCGTTCACGCATTCAGGTCTCTGAGCAAGACCCCACCCTGGGGTCCGGGGAAAGGGGCCGAGCCTCCAGGGTATCTGCACCCACAGGGGCGGCCAGGCAACCCCGGCCTCTGGGGGGGGGGGGGGCAGGCGGAGCACTTTCTGCGGCCTCTGTCCCTTTGGATTTGTCCCATCTGGAGGCCTCAGGAAATGGAACGCTGTGTCACCAGGCGTTTTGTGTGTCTTCTCTCACTCAGTGTAATGTTTTCAGGGCTCATCCGCACTGTAGCACGTGTCCGAATTTCCTTCCTTTTCACGGCTGTACAACACTTCACTGTATGAATGGACCACATTCTGTGTGTCGGTTCACCCACCGACGCAGATGGCGTCTGGGCTGTTTGCACCTCGGGGCTGAGGAGTAAAGCCGCTACGAACATCTGAGCGCACGTACCGTGTGGACATGTTTTCATCTCACCACCGCCCATGCCACCCCATGCAACGGGCCGTGCTGGGGAGAAATCTCTCACCTCACTGGCCTCGAGGGTCAGGTTCTCACCCACTCACCACCGCCCTGGGGGCAAATGCCATTTGGCAGGGCCTGGCTCTTGGGGCAGACAGCCCAGGCCTCCCCCTACTGCCCCTTTGGGCCTCCACGCTGCCCTGAGGCGAGGAGCTGGGCAGGGGTCTCCCCTGTGTTTGGAGTTGGCGGGCAGCATAGGGAGACCTAGGCAGGCACCCGGCCCCAGGTGGGCTCGTCAGTCCTGCGCTGCACCAGAGCCTGGCACTGGGGGGACCCTTGCTGGCCCTGGCAGGAAGCCTGCAGGTGGGCAAGACTCCTGGTGAGCAGCTACGCAGCGTCCCACACACAATGGACTGAGACCTGGCCCCTGAAGCTGAGTGCACGCAGCTCCAAGCAAACCTCCAGAGTCCTGCATCCCCCATCCCACACGGGGACCTCACTGCAGGTGAGCACCTGCAGACGAGCACCTGCCAACGGCAAGCATCTGCCCGCGGCACAACATGCCGGGCCCGCGTCTCTTGAATCCCCCACTGACAGGGAGCTCACTACCACCCAGGCACCGAAGGGAACCCATTCCACTGCTGGGGGAGCGTGAACCCGCCCCTCAGTAACCTCCACTGATCTCTGAGAGGAACTCTGAGAACCTGCCTGTCCAGTTAATAAACACTCACAGACACAGTGAGCCGTTCCCTCTGCCAACACATTTCCCAGGTCCAGGCCCCGTTCTACGCAGTTTAGACGCCGTTAACACATTTGGTTGCATCACAGCCCTCTGAGCAGACAACACTGTCGCCCATCACGCAGATGTGCAAACTGAGCCATTAAGTGGCTGAGATCTGAAGGCAGACGGCACGCAGAGAACTGCGAACGCGGGTCATGCGGGCCGGGTCCTTGGGACCAGGAGACGTGGCAGTGACCAGGCAGACAAATGCTCACTCACGCAGCAGCGTCCCGCGTGCCTCCCACGAGCCAAACCTGGACGCCGGGGTCCCATTTTCCAGCCACCGGCCCGGCTCTGCATACCCTCCACTGACGTGCTGTGAACGACCACCATCCCCACGTCACAGCAGAGGACGTGAGATCACAGTGAGGTCATCAAGGAGCAGGGACAGGACGCCAACGGTGTTGCTGTGGAGTCCTTGGTCCCAACTGCTCTGCCATCCTGACACCCAACTGTCAACAAGGACCTAAAAGAGCACGGGGCCAACCAAAGACAAAGCCAGGCCTGTCTGGGGGGCCAGGAGGCCACGCTGGGGGACACCGAACAGGGGATGGATGGGAGGCGGGGGCCTGGCAAGAAGACTGCAGGTGGCCCCTGGGTGGAGCCTGCAGCCAAGGCCCAGGCCTCCTCATGGCAGGCCCTGCCACTGACCACGACAAGGAGCTACCACGGGGTCGGGCCAGGTCGGCAGGACACACACAGGGGTGCCCTGTGCAGGTTCTCGCTCCCGCGCATCATCACAGCACCCACCGTGACACGGCAGCACCTGCCCGGCCCGTCACAGGCTCCCCTCCACACGGGGCCCTTATCCGACTGGCTCTTCATGTCGGCCTGATGAGAAGACAAGGCGGGAGCGCCGTGTGCGGGATGGCATGATCCTTTCCTCCGCACTGGTCCCCATCACCCCCACCCCACAGGCGTGGGGGTCTCCCCAAGGGCCAGCCGTTGCTCAACCCTGGAGAATGTGGTGTGGTGAAGAGGCCACAGCCCCAGTCTCATGACAGAGCCCTGCCAGTGAGGAGCAAGCATCTGAACGAAAAAGGCCATTTCAGACGATGAAGTTCAAGGAAGATCTGCAGGGAGGGGAAGGAAGAGGAGGGGAGGGGAGGGCAGCTGCACCAGGAGGTCAGTGGAGGATCTCCCAGAGGGAAGAGCCACAGGGGCAGGTCTGCACGAGAAGCGTGGAGGGGGAGGGATGCAGGGACAGCAGGTGCAAAGGCCCTGTGGAGAGGCTAGAGATGCAGGGGTGGGAGGGTACTCTCGCAGGGCTTCCAAGGCCAGACGGGATTGAGGAGTTGTGTGAAATGTGGTGATCCCTCTGGGGTGGGCGCCATTGCGACGCGTGTTTTACAGACGAGGACACTGGGGCTCCCAGACGTCGGTGGGGCCGGTCCTGGAGCTCGCCTGCAGCAACAGCAAGGAGCACCTGGACGCAGCAGCGAGGGTGGGCAGCCAGGATGCACTGGCACAGTGCCGGGCTCGGGGCCACAGGGACTCCCAGGATCCGGGAGGGCACGGAGCATTCTTCCTCCCCATCTGCCCGAGGCATCACCCCCTCAGAGGCCTCCCAGCCCCCGATCTGCCCTCCCCTAGACCCCACAGGGTGCCCAGCACCCACACCGGCGCCAGGCGCCCTCAGGGGCTGAGAACAGGCACGTGCCACACCCACGAAGGGGTCTGAACAGAATGGACGCTCGAGAGACAAATGCATGCAACTCTGTCCCCCTTGGCCGGCCCACCCTCTGGGACCCCACAGGAAGGCCAGCAAGCCCCCAGCTGAGAGCTGGTGCCACACATAGTTCGGGGGGAGCCTGACAGTCCGGGCCACACGGCTGCAAAGCCGCAAACAAGCGCTGGGAGCCCCTGGCCAGGCAACCAACCCCCTTCTCCTGGGGCTAATCTGAGGGGAAACCCAAACCTCAGAAAATGCTTCCTGCAGGGAAAAAAAAACTTCATCACAGCCAGATTTAGAGCAGGAAAGAAACTGGAAAGAACCCGTCAGCACCATGTGGGAGAAAGCCCAAGAAAATCCCACAGATGCCACAGCCCCAGAAACGACAGCTGATGGCAGGGAGAACGTGTCTAACTTTTTTCTTTTTATCTTCATTTTCTCAACTTTTCCATTTTTTTAGAATGAGTAATTACTTCTGCTATAAGGGAAAAAGACGAGACGATTCTTTTTTGGACGTCCATAGGATTATGCATGGCGATGGGAAAATCGCCGGGTGCTGAGGGGGCACCGTGGGGACGCACAGCCCTCGGGTCACACCAGGTAACCACGCGGCCACAGAAACCCTTGCGCACGGCTGCTGGGCACGCAGACGGTGCGGCCACCGTGGCAAACAGTCTGGCAGCTCTTCACATGATAAACAGACTTAGCTTGTGACCCTGTGACTCCACCCCTAGGTATACACCCGAGAGACATACAACCCGCGTCCACACGCAGACTCGCATGCGAATGTTCCGGCAGTGCCCGTCAGAGCGCAAACACCAGGGGAGAAGCCAGTCACAAAGGGCCGCAGAGAGCGGACTCCATCTCTCGGAAACGTCCAGAAACATCCAGAACAGAGAAGGTGGCTGCCAGGGGATGGGGGCGGGGAGGGAGAGGGGCTGCTAATGGGTGCAGGGCTTTTTGGGGAGTGATGAGAATACTGTGGAACCAGATGGTGGTGAGGATTGCACAACGTTGTGAATATATTAAAAATCACTAAACTGTACATGTTCAAAGAGTGGATCTCACGACATGCAAATTAGATCTCAACTAAAAAGTAAACAGACTTTAAAAAATCGTATGGGGCCCGCTGATTACAAGGCCACAAACACTGAAAATGAGGTAAGAGGAGAGCATCTCTCCACTTGCTAGATGAAACATTTCCCCATTCGTGCACCACTTAATAGAGCCAATTACATCTTCCAGGAAAACAAGGGGTGCCTGGCTGGCTCAGTCGTTAAGCGTCTGCCTTCGGCTCAGGTCGTGATCCCAGGGTCCTGGGATCGAGCCCATGTCGGGCTCCCTGCTCAGCGGGGAGCCTGCTCCTCCCTCTGCCGCTCCCCACCTCATGCACCCCTCCCCCAAATAAATAAAACTTTGAAGAAAAGAAAAAGAAAGAAGAACGAGGTAAGAAAAGGAAAGACACAGTCAGTGCTCGCAGGGCTGGGGGCAGCAGGGCTGAGGCAGTGGGCCGGGACAGCCGGCCCCTCTGCCCTCCTGTGTGTGTGGAAACTTGTTTGCTAAGTGGGTGTGCTGTGCTTCCCCTGAACATTAACGTGCAAGTCACTGAGCAGGGACTTCCCAGACCTG